AAAAACAAACTCCCATTTTCGAAATACAAACTCCCGTTTTCGAAAAGCAAACTCCCATTTTCGAAAAACAAACTCCCATTTTCGAAAAACAAACTCCCACTTTCGAAAAACAAACTCCCATTTTCGTAAAACAAACTCCCATTTTAGTAAAGCAAATTCCCATTTTCGAAAAAACGAACTCCCATTTTCGAAATACAAACTTCCATTTTCGTAAAACAAACTCCCATTTTCGAAAACCAAACTCCCATTTTCGAAAAACAAACTCATATTTTCGAAAACCAAACTCCCATTTTCGTAAAACTAACTCCCATTTTCGAAAAGCAGACTCCCATTTACAAAAAAAAGTACCATTTTTAAGAAGTGGATGTCCCTTTGGGGCTTCCGTAGGATGTAAGATCATAGACACAAAATGTAACGATATTTTCCACCCTACGGTAGTCCTTAATAAAACAATGATTCAGAGACAGGAATATCATAAACACGCGAATGTGTAGTAAGATTGTTGTTAATTTTGAAGTTTTGTATTATCTAATAAACGATAAAGTTCCAAAGTCTATCAACAGTATATTGGCAACTTTTCCTCGGCGTTTGCTACTTGAGTACCTTTACATACAGCTATTTTTGTCGGAAATAGGATAATTACTATTGATTTAAGCTTATGTTGATGTAATGATTGCGGAATATCTGCCCTGAAATCGAGTGTCACATTCTGTCTGCTCCGATGAATAAGTTTGTTTATCTTTTGTCTGAAAGATCTCTATAGCCAATCAGCTTACGTTTGATCAAGGTGTGTCCATAAGATAAGAGAACAATTGATTGTAGTTTAGTCAGTCAGAGATATAACTTTGTTGTGTACGCGAGAGGATTCGAGAAATTAAAATCTGGAAGAGCAAAGCGACAGTGTGGGTTCCTTATTCCCCATATTTTTAAACAGCCGGGAATCTACTTAAGCCACACTTAAAACGCGTCAATGAAGGGCAGCGGAGTTTGAAGTGGCTGGATAACTCAATTATGGCAAAGGGAATTTACCTTTCAGGTTTTCGAAACCTTTGTATATTTGTTTGCTTTTTTACATTTATTTTACTTGCAAATAGGAACCACGACTATTCTTTACGTCACTCCGTTTTCACTGCACGGGTATAGCTATATAGATATTCTGCTTCGCCGAGGGAAAAAGACATCGTTTTTCTCCTATTGGCTCTGCTTCCAGTGAAAAAGAATTCTAAACACGTTAGAACACTGAGTTGTGAAAGACACTTTTGTCCACGAGATAGATGCAGCGGATTGAGTTACAAGTATTCTAAACAATCCTTGAGGTCATTTCAAGAAGTATTAATAAGCAGGCATCCGATGTTCCCAGAGACTAAAATATCTCGGAAGTTCCATGGTATGCTTCTGATGACCAACCAGAGTGATAATACCGATTAAAATTGGACATTACACACACCGTCTTTACCACTCACTAGGAAAAAAACAGTTGCGCGACGGCGCCGGCATTTCATAATATCAGCTACTATCGTAACAACTTATCACATAAGGACGCCACTGAAAGGCAAAAGGTTTAATATAACTCACTTGTTTGGTGGGACCAATTAAATACACCAAATTCAAGAAAATAATTTAACATACAGACTTGTTTTTCTGTTAAGAAAAAAGGGAAATTTCCCTTCCGCGAAATGACTGACAAAATAATTATGACATATGGATGGCCCGCCTACGCATGCAAATCACATGAGATCATGCCCGCTTTTATACTTTACACTCCAGCCACATTTGTTTTTGTAGCGTTTAGTCACTACATTTGGTACCTCATCAAGAATAGAAAACAATGGAAATGTCGACGTTTTCAGTCTCTGTATGTCTTCTTGTAGATGTAGGTATGCACATGAGATAGCGAAGAAAATCGAAATGAGATCAATATCATCTTGCAAGGGATAATCATCTGTTTAGCAGCACTTTCAAGTTTATAATTATTTATACCCTTTCCTCTAGGGCTAAAGCTCACCAACACTGCCTCAGCTCATCGGTCCTGACAGCTTGCAGATGGACCGAACAACTAGCGCGGAAGAGGAAACTCAGAAAAGCCAAGCTCAACAGTCTTACTCCATCAGTTGTCCCTCCAAACTTTTGCAGGAATCATGCATGAATTCACGTCCCCAAATAGTTACGGCTGATGTTGAACATCATGCAAACTCAATAACATTAACATTAAAAGATTGTGATGTCGTAATCGTTGGTCAGCCAGTCGGTGTCCCGCACATACAAAGCTGTGCTTTCCATACCTACCGGGAGCCCAGTGCCAACGACGAAGCTACTTCGGAGTCAAGGAATCGTTTTCCAGAGTCCGAAGGAACATCTACAACGAAACACAAGATAGTTTGCAAAGATAAACCTGGAATCCCGCAAAAATACAATGCACGTGTGGAAAGTGACACATCCATAACGATCAAGGCTCATCAGGCTTTAGATGTAGATCGTCCACTGCCAATGATTACGAAACAGGGATATCTGAATGGCAAACAATGCGAAGAGATTGTTGAGAAACTAGTAAACTTGCAGGACAACGGGAAATTCAAAGAACATGAAGCCTTAGTGATTGCAAATTTGAAACTCTGCAAAGAAAAACAAAATTTCGACATGGAATTGACTCTATTATTAGAGCAAGGAGTTGCATTTTCTTACCACAGGGAATTCAAGAAAAGCAGAAAACTTTTTAACTCTGTTATCATCAAAGGAGCTAAGCATCCACTTAGAAATGAAAATCTGTTGATGGCAAGAGCTCACTACTTGATCGTGGACAATTCCGTCGACAGGTTCAGGAAAGTAACAAAAATACAGTCCATGCAAGAATGCCTGAAAAAAAGTCAATTATTACTTCAGAATGTTGACTCACCACAAGACTGGGCAGAACTATATTACACCAGCGGAAACCTTGGCCTGGCTCGCATGAGCACAATGGGCATATCTGAACGAAGGCACGCACAGGCGCGCAGAGCTGTTCAAGATGCTGCCAAACATAATTTCGAGCTGGCAATCACATGCTGTAAAAAGGATCCCCGTGAGCGAATTCAAACCAAATTACAACGATACTGTCATCTCAAAGTTGCACAGCTGCTTCTCGATACCTGCTCCACTGCTGCGTTGCATCAGCAAAACGTTCTCCCGCCGGAACAAATTGAAGAAGCGAAGCAGCATCTGGATTTCGTGGAGCGTGAACTCGGAAACGGGATGCCATTAGGTACACGAGTAGAGCTTTTGCAAACACGCTGTGACCAGTTTTATCGCCAAGAAAAGTTTCAACTAGCCAAAGAAACAGCAGAGGAGGCATATAGCATAGCGAATTGTAACAGCGGATTTTACTTTGTAGACGCACTGCAAGAGCGAATTAAATTGCTACACAGTTTTTGCGAGTGTAGGATTAGGCTGGTTGTTGATGATGATTTGCCAACTTCTGGCAGCGACGCCAGCTGCGAGGCAAGTTCTAGTGAACCTGAATAGAGGCTAGAATGAGTAGAGGTAAGTCAGTGTTTTATGATCTCACTAAACACAGAAGTTAAGCACCAACACTACTGAGTCTTCTAGAACGGAATGTACCCTATCAAAACCATCCACATACGTAAAGATTAACGACGCCAGAAAGAGTTCTATAACCGGGCAAACTGGTCTTTTTCCACCCTACAATGCGAACACAGCAGGATTGTCAATGGACACCCGCAGTGGCTCTCAAGCAGCACCAGGCTCCTAAGTCATACATTGTCGCAACCTTACATGGGACGCCGTTGCGTGGGAATCGTACCCACCTTCAGCCAACCGTGGAGGAGATACTCCAGTCTCAAGCCCAGCATGGGAACCAGCCAGTACTGAGTGTAGCCCGTGTTATCATACACTGGTGGTGAGATCGAAGAGCACGAGGCACCTTCGCAGCCTGATGTTCCGTGAGCTGATCAACCCGTCAGAATAAGTCAGAGGATTCGAAGCCCACCACAGAGTCCTATTGAAATTATGTAGATATTGCTATCGTCTATTAGTTAAAGAACTCTGAGATCCCTGAGACGATTTTGTAGTCAACAGATTAACGTTGTAGACCTAGTGATGTTCTGTTTGAACTTTGTTTATATTTCTGAGAACTATCTTTAAAAAAGATGTCATGTTAGGAAATTTGCATGACCTCCCTCATGCACAGTAGAACTTCGTGTACCTTGAACTTTGTACCCAAACTCTACGCGGTGACTTCTCGGCAAAAATAGATACTTTGACCCATATAGCAGGAATTATACATGGATGAGGTAATAAAGGATGGCTCCTTTTCGGGGNCGGGGGCAGTTGTTAACGATAGTATTTTTGTTTGTGATTTTGTCGGTTGTCATCTACGGAGATTTGGCGTATAAGCTGAGGGATTCATGGTAATGTTACATTTGACAAACATTCCAGTCCTACAAATAAATAATAGCTAGAAAGGATATAAAAACGTGCGTGCATAAAGCAAAATGGGCTGACAATTGGTCATTATATAGTCTAATATAGTTCTTAATTTCTGAAGCTCAGCTGTTTAGTTTTGCAGTTCCGGGCTCTGATGTAATTAAAAGAGAAAAACAATGAATGCAAAAAAGATACTTTAGTTTTACTTCCACTATTTATCAGTGTGAATGAAGGAAAGAGAAAGTCGATAGAGAAGTGGAAATAATAGATCCGTCACATTAACCCGCTTTTGGAAAAGGGACTTTCCCGACTAAACTTTCGAAAGAACTCAATTTACATACACGCAGATATAAAACATGAATATTTCCTGAGTGTAAGTGTTTATGGCGTAAATGTCGAAGTTCTGCGTTACTGAGGAAAACTGATATTTCTGTTTTTCAACGTACTCTGCGGAGAGCGACAAATAATTCGAATTCCTGTTTTTAAAGTCGTGAAAGGTTTTCGCCGACGAGGTAGACGCAAAATATACTTTGGAATTAATTCAAAACAACTGTAACGCTGACTTCCAAAATCGGCTAACGCTAAACTGATTGAGTCACGAGCAAGTGGCAACCACGCAGACAAAAAAGAGGCATTTCTTCGCATGAACAGCGATGACGAACGTTTAAAAACAGACTGAAATGAAGTTTTCTTCAGTTCGCGGCACAGAGGTACCTTTAAAGCAAAGCATATCTGCCGGACATCAATCTTGCAGCGATCTCAACACCGCGTCATTCATGTTTACTCCAGACGATTCAACTACGGTCATCGCTGAGACAAGCCTTGAACGAAAATCAAAGG